CTGCGCCAACTGAACAACTTAAGCCCACTCTCTGCAAAACTCTAAGCGGCTCATTCTTGCTGGCCACAAAGAGGGCCATTCAGTTTCAAGTGGCCCATTCAGGCAAAGCAACAGGAAGAAACGGTTCTGTCTTGCATGTAGACACTGAACACTGGCAGGGCAGGGCTTTGGCATAAGTGCAGTTAGCAGTAACATAGCCACCCATGTCACAGCAGGGTGCGCCGTGACAGCTTCAGTAGGTGTTATGGTCAGGGAAGGGACTGGCCGAAAGAGTAGAAATTCTTCAAATAAAAGTACGAAGGCTGGCTCAGTAAATAAGAGTGCCTACTGCTGTTGCAGAGGAACAAGTGAAGCTCCCATTGCCCACACCGGGCTGTTCATAACTGCCTGTAGTTCCAGTTCCAACAAGGATATGATTCTGTAGGCATCTGCATGCAAGTGCACACACACGAGAGCACACACACACACACACACACACACACACACACACACACTATTGTTTGTTAAAGATTTATACATTGTTTTAATTGTATGTGTATGAGTGTTTGCATGTATGCAAGTACATCATGTTCATACAGCACAAGGAAGCCAGAAGCCAGAGGAGACCATTGGATCCCCTGGAGTTGTGTGTGAGCTGATGTGGAGGAAGGGGCTGGGAACCAAAGTCCAGTCCCCTACAAGAACCATAAGTACTCTTAACCGCTGAGCCATGTCTCCAGCCCAGTAAAAAACTTGAAATAAGTACAAAGGTGGTGGCACTCGCCTTTAATCCAAGCACTCAGGAGGCAGAGGCCAACAGCTCTCTGAATTCAAGGTCAGCCTAGTCTAAATTGTGAGTTCTAGGGCAGCCCAGGGGCATGTGGGAAGACTCTCTCTTAAAACAAAGCAAAACAAAAAACAAAGCTAATAAATAAATAATAAATAAAATTTAAAAGGAGAAATTGGGGGATATTCTGATACCTTGAAACAGTACAGTTACAGCAGTGCTTGAGGTACAACTGTATTAACACCCTGTTCTATGGAGACACAAGGAGGGACCTTAATTATTCATGGATGCATCTTTCCTATCTAGAGCACAGAGACCCTACCATGATCTTAAGGCTCAGCTGTGAGCTGCCTCACAGTTGCGAGCAGCAATGGCTTCCCCTTCTCTCTGAGCTGTTTTCCCTCTGGGTCTACCTTCTTACCTTCCTCCTTTCCTCCACCCAGTTCCCAACGAGCACCCTCGTCGAATACTTCTTCTCAATCTGCCAGCCTGGAGTAGAAAATGACTGAGGAACTGATGAGGTCACAAACATGGTAAGGATCTGTCCCCAGTCCCTTTGGCTTGGCAGATTCAGGGGTCAGACAGATATTAGGGAATTTTTAGAGTGTTCATCTCCTCATCTGCCTTCCCAGAGTGGGTAGCAGACCACCAGTTTGTCAAGCTCAGGAGATTTAAAACAAAGCCCAGAGAGCTTGTGTCTTGGATTCTCTTTTGTTGACTGTCTCCATGGTGACAGACACAGGCAGCAGAAACTCTTCACCAGGAAGCAGTTGGTCCTGGAGGAGCAGAGCTGTCCCCACATAAAGAAGCCAAACTGAAAAGGCACCACCATGAAAGCAGTAGAGAAAGGCCAGACATCTCTCCTGTTGCAAGAGAGGCACAACCCTTGTCATATTTTTTACACAGGGATAAGTTGGGCTATTTCTTGAAGGTGAATTGAATTCTAATACTTCTTAATGCTGACATGCTCGCCCGTGCTAAGATCCTAACAGACATTCCCCGACAGCACCCCTTCGAGGCTGGTGCCATAACAGTATCTCTGTGTGCTCCACACAAGGAGATTCTGGTGCCTAAAGTCACTCTGCTACCTGGTGGGACACTTGAGACTCCCATTCATTCTAACTCTGGCTTAGATCACTGGCTTCCATCCACTCCCTGTCTGTAACTCTGCCTAAGGGGCTTCCATGAAGAATCCTGCATTGTGTTTGCAGCTAACACGATACAGGTTCATTCATTCAGTCTTCATTCATTCATTCCATAAGTACTTCACATTGTGTGTCTTAGGTGCCAAGGTGAGGTCACAATGCATTAATGAATAGACTTTGGCTCAGCTCAGTGGGGCAGAGCCCCATGTTTTGCTTATTCTCTAGGCCAAAGGATCAGGAGCCACCAAGATATCTATCTACAGAGGGCTGGTTCTATACAGTGAAGTACACCCATATGATGCAATGTTCTGAGGCTCTTACCAAAACCCTGGTCTAGGGGAATGTTATGTAATTCCGTGGCAGAGCACTAGCATAACATGGGGAAAAGTCCTTAGTTTAAACCCTGGCAAAGGAAGGGAAGAAAGGGTGAGTAGGAGAGGAAGAGAAAGAGGAGAGAAGCAAAGGGGAGAAAGATAAAAGGAAAAGGGTTAACCTAACAAAAGATGCACTGATAAATAAAGGAAGCTGTTTAAAATTATGTTTCGTTTTGTTTTGTTTTATGTGTCTGGGTGTTTTGCTTATGAGTGTTCTACATCTATGCCTATTGCCCATGGAGGCCAGAAGAGAATGTCAGATCCCCTGGAACTGGAGTTACAGAAATTTGTGAGTCACCATGTGGGTGCTGGGAGTTGAACCTGGGTCCTCTGGAAGATCAGCCAGTGATCTTAACCATTCAACTGTCAATCCAGCCCTAGAAGAAATATTTGTCTGAAGTAGCCACAGTGAGGCACATTTGTACCTCATGGGTGTGTGTGTGTGTGTGTGTGTGTGTGTGAGATTGTGTGAGATCTTCATGCTGGAAAGATGGCTCACAGGGTTTAGGACTTAGCATGTGAGCCTGGTAATCAAAGTTTGGTCTCTAGAAGCCACATAAGGTGGAAGGAGAAATTGAATCTACAATGGGCATCAGATCTCCTGGAACTGGAGGTGGCTGTGTGCTGCTTGGAACTGAACCAGGCTCCCCTGTGTGACCAGCAAGCACTCTTTTTTTTTTTTTTTTTTTTTTTTTTTTTTTTTTTTTTTGTTTTTCC